TTTGGCGGGTCCAGGCTGGGGTTTCGAACCCGCCACCTTAGGTGTACGTGGCTGGCGCCTTAGCCGGTTGAGCTATAGGAGCCGAGCCAAAGAAAAAAGTTTTATTCTTTCATCCAAAACCCTAAAAAAAATATTCCCTTGACTTCAACTTCCTGTCCTTGGCAATAAAAATATTATTTTCTTTCTGGGCTAAGGAAGACATCTTTCACATGGGAATTTCATCTCTTGCTTTTAAGAGACAGAATGAAGGTCAGAGTGATCTTCTTGTGTCTGCTGATTTTTTTAAGTGCCTTTAATTCAAAATAGTCGATATGCCAGAGCGGCATATTTTGGAACAGCATATTTTTAACTCTTACAAAAGTAAGCCCAAGTCCCCAGGGTCTCATAAAAGGAACTAGTTGAGTCGTTATTCTTAATAGGAGCTGACAGAGCCAGCTCAGGGTTGATGTACAGTTTTCACGGGCAGAGCTAAGGCGATAACCCCAGATATGGAGGAATGGGATTTGGAAAATATTCAGCCACAGAGAGGAGATGAAATAAAGACTACTCTCAAGGCCTCTTCCATCTCAAGCTGCCAAATTGCCCTATGACTCTGGGACCATGGCGTGTCCAGGAAGTAAGAATCAGCAACTCTGAAGCATAAAAGCAGAAAGGCACTGAATGTTTGGAAGGGGTGCCAGGACCCAAAAAGAATCCCTCTTTGTCTACAAGCCATCTATGCCAAAGCAAAACAAATTTGTCAGCATCTCCTTGAAACTACAAGGGGGAGTCTAAAAAATTTAAGCAACAAAACACAGTAAATGGAAATTGATTGTTCATTACCATCATTACTAATTCAAGAAGGTATAGAATGTTACTGCTAATCTGTTTACTTGGTGAGCTGATTTTATTTTTATTTTATTAAACATAAATATGTTAAAAGGTTTTGTCCTCCTAAGCACGTTTCCCTCATCTACTTTTACGAGAGTAAATGTTTCATGTCTTTCAACCATACATTCCCATGGTGGTTTTCAGCTCTTAACTGAAAGGAAGAGGGTGGGATAGGGCGTTAATATATAAATGGCTCAAGTACTTGGTATTTGAGTCACTACCCACCGTAGTACACAAATAACGGAATTCAGGCAATCTGATAGTGAGACGCTTGGTCACTTTTAGCTGTATTTTATGGTCTTTAAGAAAACACTATTGCTTTCTGTATGTTGCTTTTTCTCCTTAACAGACGGATGGAAAAAACGATGGGTGGAATCTAAACATCAACTGGACTATGGTAAATTTCAGCTCACCGCAGGAAAATTTTATAGTGACAAAGAAAAAGATAAAGGTAAAGACAGGAATTCAAAAATATGCTAATTGATTGGAAAAAATCTGTCTTTTATACAATTGTTTTTGTTCGCCATCACCAATTCATTTCTCTTAAAAAAGTAATAGAAAAGAATGAACTCTCCGCAAAAAAATACGACGTCCATCCATTGAATAACATGCATTTAAAACTAAGCCCTTCCACACATTATTATCCCCACTGCTCTTTGTAACTATAATACTTTGTAAAGTGATTGCTATTATTTTCCAGTTTTGCAGAGGGGCCTCAGAGAGGCAAAATTATTTGCCCAAGGCTGTATACACAGCTGGCAATAGCTGAGATCTGATTCCAGGTCTGACTCCAGGGACTATGTTCATTACTGCTAGACTATTCTGCCTTCCCCAGGCCTGTAGGATTTTCCCAAGAGCACTCTGCACTTGAAACGAGAAAGCACTGTAATAATGTCCAAATACTGCTCTTCCCTTAGAGCAGCTTAGTGTGACAGAGAGTGGAGCAGATAGACCTGGGGCTAACTTGCTCCCATGACTTACCAGCTGCATAATTTGGGCAAGTCTTTTTACTTCTGTGAACCTTTGTACTAAAGGGAGACGTTGGGCCAGGCTGTTGTAAGAGCTAAAGAATATCGTGGAGGAAGGGTGAGCTCCGAGGACAAGTTCTGCAGGCATTTGGATTTTTCTTTTCTTTCTTTTTTTTTTTTTTTTGTCTGAGAAAGCTTTTGTCTTATAAATAGAATCTATTGATCATCCCCTGAAGTTATTTCCCGTCTTCTCTCTCCTGGCTACCTTATGAATCTAATTTTCATGTTTATTGAAGGAGAAGATTAAGAACTGTCTTGAGCATTTTAAAATTCATTTAAATCCATTCTGGAAAACTGTCTCCAGAGGAAAGAGAATTGGAGTGACCCATGGGATGCCTGTGCTGTGGACACTCCAGGGCAGACAATCTGCTCAGCCACCTCTCTTCTCAGTTTGATTTTCTTAGCTGGACATGCTGGTGCCTGCCTGTAGTCCTACCTACGTGGCAGCCTGAGGCAGGAGGATCACTTGAGCCCAGGAGCTGGAGGCCGCAGTGAGATATAATAAAGCCACTGCACTCCAGCAGGGGGACAAAATGAGATCCTATTTAAAAAAAAAAAAAAAAAAAAAAGTGGGTTTTTTTCTTTTGTTTGTTTGAGACAGAGTCTCACTTGGTGCCCTGGGTAGAGCAGGGTTGCTGTGAGCTATGCTACTACAGCACACTACTGAGGGCGACAAAGTGATTACCCTCACGGCACACTACTGGGGGGAACCAAGTGAGTGGTTTAAACACATATTCCTGTCCCCTTGCTTTCCTAGTAGGACCCTGGGGTACAAATGAGGCTCAACAAGAGTCAGAGGACTGAATTGGGCTGCGTGGTGGGGTTTGGTGGAGCAGAGACTCAAAGTGTGGCCATCTGCCTACAGGTTCAGTGCTCTTTCCCTTATGCCTCCTCCCTCCTCTGTGGAGTCTTCCCTGGCAACTCTACCTGCCTGGAGGTCTTTGGGGGAAGTAAGCTACTCTTTACAATGGACACAGCTCCTAATACGATATCAGAAGACGTTTACCAGAGAGCCTGGTGTGCAATCAGGAGACATTGACTGAGGCAGAATCTATCACCCTTCTGTGTAATTTACTACGTGTTTCATGAGCATTTCCTCTATGCCAGGCTCAGTCCCAGATGCTAGGAATATAAAGATGTCCCTGTTCTTCAGCAGCTAAAAATTCTTCAAAGAGAATGAAATAAACCTGGTTTTCAGCACAGTGCGATGAAGGGAAGTAGAGAGCGGTGGGATCATGAAGGACAGACCCTCACCAAACACAAATAATGATAGCTCCTTGCATTTTGTATTGACAAT